TCACTGAGACTAAATTGGGCCTATTAAATGTATAAAAAAATCCTGATAAGCATGTTTTTTTTCAGTAAGGACATAATTAAACACACCATCTGACACACTTGAATATTCATGAAACAAGGACATGGTAATTACAGTTCATTAATAAAAAAAAAAGCAATATATATTCATTAACACACTGATGCCAGAATGGCAAAAAAGCATGCCATGTCTACAGTGTTTTCTTTTACTTTTCCTTTCAAATTATCTTTACAGATGGCTATACAAATAGATATTCACCAAGGAGTCAGTTTACCTGTTTACCGTTTTCCTTGATTCTAAGAAATATTCCTCTTTATTGTTTAATGTTTATTAGTATTGTACATGAATATACTAATATCAATAACAATAATAATACCATCAATATTAACCCATTGCCGCCGGGGATGGCATGTACGTACATGCCATGCCCGACTTGTTCGATTGTTTTTACACATAGATGGCTACACTTGTACTAAGTATCCAATGAGCCAATTACGAGTACTGCCTGTCTCGCCCGTTCACCCTTTTCATTGATTTACGAAAATATTTAACGTTATCCTAATTTGCTGTTAAAAATAACACCATATATATTTATAGCACTAGTAAAAATACGTTTTTTCCTGCCAATTCAAGGAAAGGTGAAATCAGGACTAGCAGAGCCATCTATGGGCAGAGATATTTCACAAAAATATAAAAAATGAGCACTGCATTTCCCCCATTTTTTGTTCATTTTCCCCAGTGGCAATGGGTTAACAGCATTTGAAAAATAAATCCCTAAAACTCAAGGAAAGGGGAAATCAGGGGAGATCATGTAGGCCTACTAATTGACTCCTTGGTGGCTGAGCACTTGTGGGGCCATCTCTTTCCAAACAAAATTCACAAAAGAAAACTACAGACAACAATAATATTTTGGTAGGATATGGAAGAAAGTTAATTATTAACAATGCGTACCCACAAAATAAAAAAGAATTGATTCGGACTTCACTATATTTTGTTCAAAAAGTATTGCACGTAAGTAAACACCAAATTAAAAATTACTGCCATTAGAACATCTTTTCGAATTTTGATTTTCACTTCAAGTATAGGACGACCTCCAGTTATAATGGTCTATAAAGGCGTGTTGGTAATGTAGCCTCATCTTTTCTCTTGAAGATCTTTCTTGTTATGCTCCTTAGTTTCATACAAATAGCTGTGTGATAGAAAAAAATAATTAGTGTATAAAAAATACTGGGTACAAATTTGAGAAGAAAAGAAATAAAAAATTACACACATGCATTAAGATATGAGTCAGACTGCTTTAGTTTTGAAATATCATAATATACCTCCTATGAACAGTACACCCCTTTTAAAAAATCCCTTTTCAATAGCAAAATATGTGGTATTGGTCTGCAATGTCTGTTCTTTATAATGATAATAAAGTTGCTTTGTAAATGTTAGTGCTATTCTAGTACAGGTTAATTCTCATGCCAACTCATTCTATTAATAATTCATTAAGAACTAACACATGTGATTACTAAATTAGCCACATATTCCCTGAATTGTAAAGAATACATTACCATTACTGATAAGCATGTCAGCAGTTCATTAGATCAGTTTTGTTAAGTGTAACAGCTGTTCTAAAAAGTAAGATTATACAACACTCAATGTCATGATTCTACAATATTTATCTGACTTAGCAATTAACTAAAATTCCCTTATATCCTAATTCTGTGTTCACAGATGCATCTTAATACTGAAATACAATCAATTTAAATTTAAACTTACATGCTACTCAAAGATGGTTATTAAATACCAAATACTCTTTAAAGATATAAATATCTGATATTGCAATACTTCAATTTTCTTTAACTAAATATATGTATAAAAGAAAATGTCAATCCAAAACATTAAATAATGCATCCCTGCATGACTGAAGAGTTCACTGGGACAACTAGAAAATAGTATCTATGAGAATGAATACCTTCCCAACACAAGAGATGCATTCCTCTTGAGTATACTTTTTATCAGAAATACATTTATTTCTGGCAATGATAGATCTCTTTGTAGATCCTTTTCACCTTTTGTGACTTCTTTCTCAAAGCAGAATTCAAAGATATTTTAAATGCTTACACACTCAAAAAAAGCTATACAGAAATGTAATATAAACATGAAACCAAATAAACACTATGGAAATAAATGGAGGTGTAAAATGACATTCACGAGCCATTTACTTTATCTTCTAAAGGTAATGAAAATTGAAGAAGCACATACCAACACATTTGAAAAATAATTTAAACAAATTTCCAAGACAATAAATGCAGTTTGTAGTTCCTGCTCCTTTAGAAAGAAAGAAGAGAAAATTGTCTAAATCTAAGACATAATAAAATGTAATAAATTATTACCTACTAGCTTTTGTCTTTTACTTACCGTAGTTTTGCAGTTAAGTCATGTTGTACTTCAGGCATAATTATACATATATACATATATACATATATACATACAT